TTGTCATCAATTTTCTTGTTTCTAGAGCTCAATTTTCCCAGCTATTGCTGTTATTTGTTGCTTTATGATTTCCAAAGCTTCAATTTTGGTGCTAAACCAATACTTTTGATTAGTTTATGTATTTGTTTGTGTAGATTCTTACATTCTTCCATTGTTCATCTTTCATGATTTTTAAATTACTTGCAGCTGATCTTAATTTTTTTTTACCTTGGCCTCCAATCTGATTTTCCATGTTGGGATTGAATATGATTATTATTTATTAACTTGTACACTGTCCAAGTTACTCTGGAAGCCTCATACAATCAATGAAATAAATTTCATAAATTACGAGACCCTTAAGAACCCTTCCTTCCTATTTTTAACACATGCAATATAAAATCTGAAAGTAAAAGGATCATTTGTAAGCATAAGGTTGTTTTGTGTTTTGTTCAGATGTCATTTGTTCTAGAAAACTTTTATCAAGAATAAGTTATTGGTGCTTTAAATAAATGGACCGGCTGGTTGATTCTGCTATAAATAATTTTATCTAGGTTATTAGATAGTAACATACACACACTCACACACATGTATATGTTACTATCTCATACATACATACATACATACATACATACATACATACATACATACATACAAGATTGCCTAAAAGAAACTGTCATCTTTTTGTTTGGAGTGAGAAACAAAACTCCTAACCACAGGACAGTAATATCATAAAACTGATTCAGACAGAAATTCCGGTTTTGTTAAATGGGTCGACCCATCTTGACAGTTAAAACTGATCTCAAAGCAAAACTTTTAGAGTTGAGTGGGGTTTTTTGGGTGTGCTAACAGTTTCAATTGTTCCATGCCTCTTTGCGAATGACCACAATATACCCTCACTCTTTTTGAGATTAGCAGAAAATGCGACCCAGACAAGAGAACCGTTATTCTCCAACTGTCAGAGAAGGGAAGAAAAATGAACCTGAAGACGGTCTTTGCAACCACCACACAATCAGAAACTGCACATTTTGCTACAGAGTAAACAGAAACACAAAGAAGCAGAAGATATCCCTTTCTTTGGAACCCTGGGCTCAACGTACCATATATGAAGGAGGGATTAATATATCCAAATAATATATCCCATAATTGAGAGATGTGGTGTCTCAAGATATCTTATAATCAAATATAAAAGTTTCATTTATAGAAAATATTTTAACCCTGTGAATAAAGACAAAAAAGTCCCCTGTCTTGTGGGACTTAAGGAGAAAAGAAAGTAGGCATACATTGCTTCTGAAAATATGTTATTCACAAACTTAAAAAACAAACTCCCCAAAAGAGAAAAAATATAAGAAACAAAGCAAAACTAAACAAGACATTAAAAAGTGCATTTAAAAAACATAGGTTGTCCCACTTGGTTGAATACGCTATTTTACACACACATACATACACACAAAATTGCTTCTGCAAAAAACAATATATTGACCACATTTTGTCCCAAATAGATAGTCCTCAACTTATGACAATTCAGCCCAAATTTCTGTTCTAAGTGAGACAGTTGTTAAATGAGTTTTGCCCCATTTTACAACCTTTTTGCCACAGTTGTTAAGTGAATCACTGAGTTGGTAACATAGTTGTTAAGTGAATTTGGCTTCCCCATTGACTTTGTTAGGTCACAAAAGGGGAACTGCGTGACACTGCAACCGTCATGAGTCGGTTGCCAAGGGTCTGAATTTTGAATTTTGACTGTAGGGATACTGCAATGGTCACAAGTGTGAAAAATGGTCACACGTCACTTTTTTCAGTCATCGTCCTAACTTTGAACAGTCACTAAATGAATGGTTGTGAGGATTGCCTGCATACACAATTTGGTGCCCTTGAGCACTAATGTGCTGAAGCACTCCTCATGATGTGGTGCCTGGCTGATTCTCTGCTTCAGCTAGATTACATAATTTTTAGATCGTTTTAATAAGTAAATAAAAAAGCACCAAGCCTCTTGCATCATCTCTATTTACAAAATTTCTTCTCAGCACTATATAAGTACACAAAAGATTTACTAGGTACATAATATTAGTTTTCCCCATCCAACCAGAGGTAATCCTAGGTTGCATCAGTGGTAGTATAATCTATAGATCAAAAGGGAGGTTATAGATCAAGAGGTGTGTGTGTGTTACTCCCCTCTGCCTTGAATCATACTGGAACACCATGTCTATATTTGGAGCCATTGACAATTTGAAATATATCCATAGAACAGCATCTAAGATAATAAAGGGCTTGGATTTTTTAAAAAAACCTTATGTAGAACAGTTCGAAGCATTGGGTAAATTTATGTTTATATCTGCAGAGAGATTTGACAGCTGCCTTTAAATATCTGAACCACAGTCACGTAGAAGATGAGATGGAAGTGTTCAGAATTGTGCCACAGGCAGAAACAATGGGTTTAAATTACAAGGAAGCAAAGTAGATTTTAGTTAGGCATCAAGAAAAGTTTTCTAACAGAGCTGTTCAACAATGTAAAGTGACTTTGGATGAAATAAAGACTGCTGTTTGCTGGAGATGTTTACGTGGCATTTGGATAGCCATCGATTGATGGTCTTTGTGGATTCCTGTCCTGGGCAGGCAATTAGAGTAGATGATGTCCAAGCTTTCTTCCAATCCTTATATTCTATTATTCCACCAGACTAGCAGATTGGCATCTACATCTGGGTTCTTCTATGCGCTACAAAGAATATGGTTGCACTACAGAATTCAGAAACAAAGATATTCCCAATAACATAAAGTACATATAGTTGCTCCAGGCAGAAGGCAAATGGGGTTGAATATCTTTGTTCTTGAAGACATGAAAATAGTGCAAGGGGGAGACCTATGGAAATACTTAATGCGATCCATTTGTTTTCGTCTTTAGTGAAGTTATAAAGGTACTGAAAAAAGTGACTCAACAACCAGTCCTCATACGTATGACTATTGCAGCAAGCCTGAGGTCACGTGATCAACATTCAGACACTTGGATAACAGATAACAGATAATCAGAGTTGGAAGGGACCTTATAGGTCATCTAGTCCAACTCCCACCCCCGCCCAAGCGGGAGACCGTATATCATTTCTGACAGATGGGAGTCCAATCTCTTCTTGAAAGTCTCAAGTGATGGCGCTCCCACAACTTCCGAGGGCAAGCTGTTCCATTGGTTGATTGTTCTCACTGTCAGAAAGTTTCTCCTTATTTCCAGGTTGAATCTCTCCCTGTTCAGTTTCCATCCATTATTCCTTGTCTGGCCTTCGGGTGCTTTAGAAAATAGCTTGACCCCTTCCTCTCTGTGGCAGCCCCTCAAATATTGGAAGACTGCTATCATGTCTCCCCTGGTCCTTCTCTTCATTAGACTAGCCAAGCCCAGTTCCTGACAATCAGCAAGATGGTTGTGGCATCCCAAAGTCACATGCAATTTTTAACCTTCCCATCCAACAAGCAAAGTCATTGAGGAAAGCTGGACTTGCTTAGACAGTTGGCTCACTTAAGCACGGTGATTTGTTTAAACAACCGTAGCAAAAGCAGTCATAAAATTGGGCATGACTCACTTAGTGACCCCCTTGCTTAGTGATGGAAGTTTGGGTTCCATTTGTGGTTAGTAAATTGAGGACTATCTGTATGCCCATCCATCCTTACCACTTTCCTTTTTTTCCAGTAAGCTGAAGTTTTGCAAAATACTGTTGTGATTGATGTCTAGTAAGAATAGCCAAGCAGAATAAATGGGAGCCAGGAAAAGAAGTCCCATTCATTCCACTATGAAATAGTTTGTGAAAAAAAGAACAAAGCACCTTTTCAAATTCTTTGTATCTCTAATTCTGTGATATCACAATGCACATATAATAGGGGAGGGGCTTGCATCACACTGCTTGTGCTGTTCAGCCCCCTACACTCAGATGGTGTTTGACTTTGCATCATTGTGGATTTTCTACCTCATCCAGTTACACTGACCAGCAATTGTACTGGTAGCCTCCACTTTCTCTCTGGTTTTTTAAACGTTTATTCCCCCAAAGCAGCCTTCCATAACCTAGCACCCTTCAGCTGTATTGAGGGATGCAACATACACTCCCCAAATAGCATAAAGATTAAAAAATGTTCCAAAAAGCTGTTCCTGGTGAACATGCCTTTGGATGGCATATTTCAACTCTGTATAAACACCCTTTGTGGAGGGAAAATTCCAGGACTTTGGAACAATTCAGAACTTTGAATGATACAATTCAGGAAGAGAAATGTGTATCTATAGACCACAGCAGAATCTCCTATGCCAGCTTGCAGTATTATAGTACAATATTATCTATGTATAGTTACTGTATATGAAAGTTAAAATACAAAATGCAATCATTAGCAAAATGACAGCATGTTCACAAAAAGATCTCTAGCACTCAAGAATAATCACACCCATGCTTACTACAGCATACAATTATACTACAGAGTTGATCAGTTCTATATACTTTGTTCAAATTTGGCATTAAAGTATCAAGATCTGAATCTTGAAGTTAGAATTATAACAAAATATCAGTGGACATGGGTGCTTCTTAAGGGGCTATCACATGGAACATTGGGGGTGTAGTATTTCAACTACAAGATCCCTAATCTAATTGTCCCCTGGTCCAAAAAAGTTGCAGTATAGCCATTGTTAATATCTGAAAACTTGTAGCAAGTATTTTTTCACAAACTGCCTTGATAAGTACCTGCTCCTCACAACAGTTTTGATTAAAATGAATCTTCCCAGAACATTGGTTTGAACTTGTTTATTGACAAGAAAATGGACTGCAATTGTGTTAATTTATGGTTCTAAACTCATTTGGTTACCTCCATGCAAAAAAAGAGTAGCTAAACAAAATATTAATCAGACATTAATATTAATTAACTACATTAATTTTCATTACCATGCCAATTCCAAACTCCAAATTGTCTCACATATGGCCAAAACCAACAGGGCTCCAGCTGAGTTAAGTTTAGCAATGACTTTTTAAAAATTCAGTTCTAGTTAGGCTCAAGAGTAATTTACAACTTCCCGAAAAGTCCTTTAGTGAGAGCTTGGAAATGGGAACATTCCAGACAGTAGCCTAATAATTGGTTAATATGGAAAGATAGGTTTGTGCAAAAAGTACTTAAGTTGCATTAGCTATGAATGCATTAAGTAAATAGCAGAGACAAGCTTGGGGGAATCCAGAAGTCATCATGTTCTCAGCCACTCTGTAACCACTCCATGGGTTATCCCTTCCATAATGGATAAGTTAGATAGACCAACTTTCTATTGACGTTCATGGAGTCAAGCAATTCCATATCTTCTTTTGCAAGCCTAAAATCAAAGACCTGGAAAGCAATAATGAAAGAATAAATTCAATGCATTATATTAAATGTTTTTTTTTACAATCAATCCACTGCACAATCAATTTTTCTTCTGCATATAAACTAGTATTACTTGTATTGGAGAGATAGGTGTTTTTCCTTCAAGCTTGGATATAGAAGTCTGTGAGGAAAATTGCTGCTGTTCCTTGGTAGGTAGACCTATCATACTTTCATCTCCAGAAAATAGATTCCCCTCCCCCCTCCTTTGTACTGTTTCAAAAACCTGCAAAATGAATTTGATCAGAGATCATAGCAAGATGAAAGAACTGTTCATTTCTGAGGAAACAAAACTTTACATAGTTTTTCAAGTGTCTTAAAAGGCTGTCACGTCCAAAATTCAGTGGTCAGGAACCCTGACTGCCCATTAGAAGAAACACTCAAATTTACTTAAAATACATTTTTGTTTAGGCATTATGAGAGCTTAAATAATATTTCAAGTTATAAAGCATCATTGAACCCCATTGGTATACTACCCTTTTCATATTGTCACTATTATGGTATTTTTATATTTGAATGATATCAAATACAGTATGTAAAATGAAATAAATTCATTTATTACAGAAGACAGATTTTCCAAATATATTGCTGTTATATTAATTGAATCTGACAGTTATCTATAAAAACAAAAGAAACAGAAATTCTTAGAAGGAGAAATCATTCAAGTGAATGTTTTGTCCTAATTAAACTCTCCTGTAAGAGCTGGCTGTTAAAGAGATTTCTCTCTGGTCCTGAACAGTAGTTCATCAAATGGGAAACAGAGCCTTAAAAATAAGATAAAACAACTGAAAACTAAATGTCCATCAATCTTTCAAATAAAATGGCAGAGAAACGACTATTCAAAACAAAACAGAATAGTTCCAAAAATGTTCCATTAAAAAAGGATACATGATAAAAATGGATGAAATGACAAGTTGTGCCAGCTGAATGCAACTTTTACCACCTGAAATCTTCCAAGATATTGTGATTCAGATGCAAACATTACATCAAAGAAATGTTATGTTTTTTTGTTAATCTTGCCAAGGTGGCATGTAGCCAGCTGATACTTCCAACTTCTCCCTTCAACCAGGGGTGGGATTCAAATTTTTAACAACCGGTTCTGTGGGCATGGCTTAGGTAGTGGCCGTGGCTTGGTGGTCATGTGACTCTTGGTGGTCATGTTATTGGCTGGATGTGGCCAACTCAACATCACTCACATCGAGGCACACATCTCCTCGCCTGGCCTCTTCATGACTGTGGGGATGCTGCAATAGTCGTAAGTGTGAAAAATGGTCATAAGTCACTTTTTTCAGTACCATTGTAACTTTGAATGGTCACTCCACACAAGCAAAGTACCAGCAAAGGAGAAGAAAAACTCCAGAGAAGTTCCTGAGACAGGAAGTCTAGTCCTACCAAGAATGTAACAAGGGTTAACGGAGAGGCAGTTTCTGTAAGCAACATCAGAATGTTTCCTTCCTGCCTTCTTTACAGGATTAGGCCAGTAATTTCTTCTAACAACTGGTTAACAACCGAACTGCTTAGAATGTTAACAACCAGTTCTAGCAAATAGATGCAAACTGTAGAATCCCCACCCCTACCTTCAACTCAAATTGCATCATCTGAATATTGTTTTTTCAAATAGCTTATTAGGGATTGACACTTAATTCTCTGCCTTCTTAAATAACCTCAGCCTACAATCCAAATGAAGCTGTTTGAAAATGGAATAAAAGCAATGCAACTTCAAAACTAAAAGGCTGCAATTTGCTTTTCAAATCACAAAAACAAATGAAGCCTTTGCCATAGAAGATTATTTCAATATAAGTTTATGGCAGCAAAATTACTATATGCACCAAGAGGGAAGGTTTCAATACTACCCACTGAGGAGGACTAGTTTGTGGAATTGACAGATCTTTCTGAGATGGATAAACTAACTTCTTTAATTAGAGAAAAGGCACTATTTACATTTACTAGAAACTTCTTAGGCAATTTTGCATTAAAATGAAAAAATGAACTTGTGATTTATGGTTTGATTATTAGACATGATAGATTATAGAAAGAAGGGTATTATAATATAACTTTAGAGAGGTTAAAATATAATTGTAATAACTGCTGTGAAGAATATTGGAAGCTGCTGCTTTGTATCTTTTTCCTTTCCTGTTTTTCTTTTTTTTCTTTTCGTGCACTTTTTGATTTTTCTTTTTTCTTTCTTTTCTTCTTTCTTTTATGTTTGTATTAGTTTGTATCTTTTGGAAAAGTTTTAACAATTTTACACAGACACACGTATGTACAAGTGAAGCCCCCCCATACTACTGATGCATGAAAATAAAGTGTTCAAAATCTAATCACTAATTCTAATGTATCTGTTTTGAATGAGCTCTCCAAAACTAGTGATAACTGGTGCAAATAGTTATCCTTCTAAATCCTTTCAGATTTAGAGCCTTTTGAGGGGACTTTTGATGAATGCCAGATACCTGTTTTAATTTTCCAAATGAGATATCGAAAGAGAAAAGATACTCCTGTAAGGGAAAGATGAAGGAAGGTTTCCTCAGATATTTCACACAACTCTAACAGAGATTTAAGGGAATAAATTCAATTTTTCCCTTAGAAGTACTGAATTTTTCAGAAGCCTGAGAAGCATATTCAAGAATCTGATTTTTCCAAAGCGGTTGCCTTCATTGGAGCCTTCCAGAGTGAAGTAGGAGTCATCTGAAAATAAAACTTGCTCATTCTTAGCAGATAATACAAAACGTTTTGACCACGGGCAGGCTTTGTTTATATATCCACAAAAGAATTTTCATCCAGGAACAGAGCTTTCGAAAAAGAGTTGTCACTAGCTTTCCTGTCAACGTAACATCATTGTACCACTTTAAAAAGAAACAGACTGGTATTTACCAGAGCATATCAGGCCAGTAACACATATATTTTGACTCTGAGGGCTTCTGAACTTATAATTACTGCAGCCTGTTTACTGCCTATATAGTGGTGACATAATTATATTTTAGCCTCAGTTGTGGGCTAGGAAAGGGGCAGGAGCATCTTCAATTCTCTGCAATCATATGTGAGCTTGGTTAGAAATCCCTTACGTGTGCATTTTAAAGCCACCATTGGTTTTATTTTTTATTTTTTTGTTCAACCAAGGGTCTGAGCTACATTTCATCAAGATGTGGATGGAGGAGGGGGAGATACAACAAAGATGGAGGTGAAAAAAAACAGGCCACCTAAAAATAAGGAGAAAATTAAGATCCAAACGGGAACAGAAAACTTTGGATGGACAGAGGGCCACATTCTTTCCATTCACTTTTAAAAAACTGATTTTGCTCTTTTCTTCTTTAAAAAACATTGCCATTACTGCTCTAGCTAAAATTTGTGACATTTTCAGTATTTAAAGAAGGCAGCCTTCCCACCAAATTTCAGGGCTCTGCATAATTATTTCTGTTCCAAGAATCAGGATTAAAATGCAATCAATCTTCTAGTTTCTCTATGTGCAAAGCCTAAGAAAAGCCCTATGTATGCATTAATTATGTTCAGCTGATTTATTTAATAGTGCTTCATTTAGATGGAAACAAACAAGTAAAAAATAGAGCTAAACCAAGGAACTGAAAGAAAAACTCCCAAAAAAACTTCTGGTTCAAAACTGTGGGCATCCCAAAGCTCTTCTCCTGAAACTGGAAAAGCTGCAATCCAAGCCTAACTACTTTTGCGTGTGTATCAGTGTTACATCCACAACAAAGAAGAGTGCTGCTCCACTCACTATTTTGTCTGCTTTGATCCCTCTGTGGATGTCACTGAATTGGAATTTGATTTTGGAAAAAAATATTATTCCCAAATTCATAGGAACTAGGTCTGATGGATTCACTTCTTGATTCCCTTGATTCCCTTCCCTTGAAAATCATGTTGATCGTGCTGCCACAGGCGGTTAAAAAAAACCAGGCTTTGGTCAAAAGTTGGTTACTATTTCTTGTATTTTCATATGCTTTCGAGTAAAATCAAACATCCTAGAGAAAAAGGAACTATATTATGTTTTTATATTGAGTTTTCTAAAAAATAGGGATGTATGTATGTATGTATGTATGTATGTATATATGTATGTATGTATGTATATATGTATGTATGTATGTATGTGTGTGTGTATAGTAGTTAGGCTTG